TATATATATATATATATATATATATATATATATATATATATATATATATATATATCCATACTATCATTATTGCCATGTCCGTGCATTTCTGATGATGGCTTATGTAAGCCGAAAGCTTAGATAGGATTAAACACACACACACACACACACATATATATATATATATATATATATATATACCGGGTGTAACAGCAAAATTGTCCAGATTGAGTAACATCATGGGATAATTGTCCATCTACACAATGTTTAACCAATAGCGTTTCTTTTTCCCAGATAAAACGTTAAGCCATCTTGACACCAATTATCGTAAGAATCACTGAAAAACTCTTTGAGTTATTCAACTAGAAAGAGAACGGATTAAAATCATTTTTGTCAGCCCCACTATGTCTGAGCAATGGTGAGAGGAAAAAGATCATTCAGGCCTTCAGTAATGGTATGAACATTCATATTCTGGCTTCCAACTTCAAAGTCCATTCAAGAACCATCAAGAGAAAGGTGAATAATTTTTTTGAAAGAGTCAACAGTAGAAAGGAAACCTGGATCAGGAGGCCACAACAGCAAGAGGGATCATCGTTTCAACATAGAAGTAAATACATTCTCATTGTTCAAAGTACAGTCCAATAGTGTTATAAAAATAAACGGAGAATTCCAGTAAGATATATTTAATCATTTCTAAGGTACAACGGTTCAAATCTTAATCTAACAATTGAACAATTTCGCTTTTACGCGATTTGGACAATTTTGCGGTGTATATATATATATATATATATATATATATATATATATATATTGTTAGGAAAATCAATGATAAAATGGGAAGAATTTTTCATGAGACGCGTGTGTGGTCTGTCTATGTGTTTGCGCGTGTGTATGTGTGTATGTGTGTTTGCATGTGTGTGTCTGTCTATGTGTGTGCGTGTTTGTGTGTGCATGTGTGTGGTCTGTCTATGTGTATGTGCGCGCGCGCGTGTGTGTGTGTGGCCTGTCTCTGTGCGCGCATGTGTTTGTGTGTTTATGTATGAGGATTGATCAAACGATGTCATCAAAACCCAGTCGCGACCATCATGTATTTGCTTAATCATAATATACATGTGTGTGTTTGTTTGTGTGTGTATATATATATGTGTGTGTGTGTATGTGTGCGTATGTGTGTATATATATATATATATATATATGTTTGTGCGTATGTGTGTGTATATATATACATATATATATATGTTTGTATATATATATGTTTGTGCGTATATATATATATATATATATATATATATAATTCTATTGGTTCTGATCTGACATCTCTGCTTCAATCACTTTCCCATCGACGTAGCGTAGTTTTCCTGTGTCTTTTCTACAAATACTTTCACGGTAATTGTTCTGCTGAAGTTTCCTCTATGGTACATAGACTTTATGAATTTAATCGCAGTACTGGATTGGCGGCAAGGTCTCATCATTTTACAACTGAAATGGCTAAATGGAACCATAAGTTCTATGCTAACAGTTTCTTTTTCTTTCAATTACTTGTTTTCCAATCAAATTTAAATACAATATCAATCTTTATGTTCTGCCTTCTTAATCCCTGTTCTTTTATTGCTTTCTCTCCTTAATAATGTTTTTCTTTTCTTTTCTTATATTCTTTTACACTCAGTAACTCCCTTGCATCTTAGAGACTTTATTGCCTTTCTTGGGGTGAAATGATTAAAAAAGATAAAATTTTAAATGTGTCCGTATCTGTATCTATGTTGGCGCAAATATCATTTACTCTTTTATAAGTCATATAACGATAGATTATTTTTTCTTCAAGTGGATCTATTGTGGACCTGAGAAATAAGAACAAATGGTTGAATCCATTATGGCTTCTATTTTTGCTTCCAGTTTCGAATATTAGAATCCATTTTTTATACAATATTCCCTGAGTGTTTCTTAATACAGTCATGAAATATTGTCTACAAAAAAAAAAAGAAAAGAAAAAGACAAAGTTAAACAAGAATTTCAGTCAATGTAACTGGAACTTGGAAACAAAGCAAAGTGTACTGAACTGCTTTGTAATATCGGTACTCGTCAATGTCAGCGAATGCGGGACCATCTCATCGCTCGTCCTGGGTATGACGATAAACTACATCCGGCAGCAAGGCCTCTGATCGGAAGATTAGAGGTTTTTGAGGAGCGTGGAACCACATTTTAATTGCTGTTGTTCCCAGGTCCACCATGACCTGAGGTAGTAGCACCTGTTAGGGTCCCAGCTATGGGCAAATAGTGAACCCCCAAACAAAAACAAAAACACCATGAAAGTATAAAAAATATTTTTATTGTAAAAAAAAATACCAGAAATACATTCTTATATAAAAAAAATTACCAACCTACAATTACAATACATATTTATAGTAGAATCACCAACATCCCTACAAGTAAGCCGCTAGTAGCCCGCTGGCGGGCCGCCGATGGTAACACCGGCGGTCCTTTCGTGACAGCCACCGGCAGGCCACTGGTGAGCTGCTAGCGGTCCGCCAGTGGTAACATTGCTGTTTTTAATTTCCGAATTTCCGAATGTGCTAACCGTATTCGGAAATTAGAAACATCCCTACCACACACTAAAACATACACAGAACGCACTCTCTCAAGTAAGCTGAAAATCGAATCATCCTTGATAATGGCTAAAGGTATAGCCGAAAGCGCTCGGAAATATAAAACATTTGGACAGTTCTTACACACCCTTTGTCCAGAAAAGAAAGCTCTTGTTCGAACGCCAGAAAAATTAAATAAAAAGCTTAACCGTAGTACCTTGTCTGTCGTTTTTAATGAAACATGCATAAAGGAAGGATTGCTGCCTAAATATACAACTATATATATATATATATATATATATATGTGTGTGTGTGTGTGTGTGTGTGTGTGTGTGTGTGTGTGTGTGTGTGTGCGTTCAAACATGAAACAGACACCGCTGGGTGTTGACCTCAGCGTACACTAAAAATAGAGCTTATGGCGCACATTCTTGTTTTTTTTAAATAAGATTCGTTGAACATTGAGGCCGATATGCGAAAATAAATAAATATACCTATATATAAATTAACGGAACGTCTACTCAAATATGAGTATCCACTAAAATTTCGCATTAATAAATAAAAAATCCATTAGTTCATTAGAAATATATACATATATATATGTGTGTGTGTGTATGTATGTATATTAATTACTTCACTGCAAAGACCTGCCATGCCACGTATACAAGATCGAATCATCCTAATAACCTTCGTATTCCATCAGTAAGTTCCACTCAGGCAGTTTCTTCACGAGAATGACCCCAGTGTCCACTATATATATATATATATATATATATATATATATATATATATATGTGTGTGTGTGTGTGTGTGTGTGTGTGTGTGTGTGTGTGTGTGTGTGTGT